ACCTTCCTTCCGAGGAGTGGCTGGTGGGTTTGAACCACCAGCCGTCTGGTTAGCAGGCAAGTGTCTTAGCCACTATGCTACCAGAGCTCCCGAATATATGTGTAGCAGATACAAATCTATATATAAAAATGCCTATACTTATATATGCATGTGCATATACTCCCATATGCCCCCTGATACATACGTATTCCATACATATCTACCTATGTAACCACTCAGATTTTTGGTGGTTATTACTGTTATTGAAGAATTGTATATGTTATAGCGTTTACCATAAAACCAAACCAAACTCATGCCATCGAGTTGATTCTGACTTATAACCCCTATTGGGCTGTAAATAAATCTTTCCTGGCTGTAAATCTTTATGGAACCAGACTGCCCATCTTCCTTCCATGGAGCTACTGGTAGGTTCAAACAACCAGCCTTTTAGTTAGCAGCCAAATGCCTTAACCACTCTACCCCCATAGTTCATCCAAAACCAAAACCAAACCCATTGTCATCAACTTGATTCCAACTCATAGCAACTCCCATTGGGTTTCTGAAGCAGTAAATTTTTATAGAAGTAGATTGTCTCATCTTCCTTCCGTGAAGTGGCTGGTGGGTTTGAACTGCCAACCTTCTGGTTAACAGTCAGATGCCTTAGGTACTGTGCCACCAGCTCCTTCCAGAGTGATTTGGATGAGAGCTCCCTGGAAGGAAGGTTGGACAGTCTATTTCTGTTGTGATAGCACCTTGGAAACCCAAGGAGGGATCGCTGTGAGTCAGACCTCACTTGACAGCAGTGGGTATGATTTTTTTGGTTTTACAAAGAAAATTCATTTTCCATACAGTGGTTCATACACATTTTGTTTCATGACATTGACTGCAATTCCCCACAGTGTAACAGCTCTCTTCCCATTTCCTACATTCCTACGTTCTAAGGAATGTATCTACCTGAAGTCTGTGTTCACCTATATGCCGGTCTGTTGTTTGGCTGGAAGCCATGGGAGTGCGTTTAATTCCAGACCCAAAGGGTAACTAGGGGCCTTGGTCTGTGGGGGTCTCACCAGGCTCTATCAGACCAGTAAACCTGGTCTTTTTTATGATTTTGAGTGTTGTTCCACACTGTTCTCCCAGTCTATCCAGGGTCTCCTGCATGGATCCCTTTCTGAGTGGTTGACAGTTGTAGCCAGGCACCATCTAGTTTTTCTGGTCTCATGATCATAGAGGCTGAGGTTTGCATGGCCCACTAGTCCCTTGGACTAATTGTTTCTATGCATCTTTGGTTTCCTTTATTCTTGTTTGCTCTGGATGAGGAGAGAGCCATTGTTGCATCTGGATGGCTGCTTGCAAGTTTTTAAGTCCCCACTTGCTACTCACGAAAGTAGGATGAAGAACATTGTTTTTGTGTTGTTATGCCATTTGAGCTTGTGACCATGGTCCTGAGCCCCAGGTCCAACTACTCACTCCCTTGGGTGGTTGGCTGTGGCTAAGAAGTTATCGTAATTTTGCCCCTTCTTAGCTCTTGTTATGGACATTTTTACAGCACATACAAATACATAAGTAGAAATACCATCTGCCAACCTTATATACATTTGGTCATTGGTATATCCTCTTTTGCTTAGACATACCTGATATTCAGCCTGTCTATTCATCTGTTTACCCGTAGATTGTTATCAGTGATAATGCAGTATTGTATATGTAGAAGGGCTTATCTTTATTGTCTGCACTTCTTGTGCACCTCTCTGTGTCTACTTTTTCCATAGTGTAATTGTATTGGTCATTCACTTTTGGTATATTGCCTTCCCCTTCACCCAAATCAATACTTGTCTCTACCTATCTAGCAGTGTTTGCTCCCTCCCCTTCCATCCCTGGTAGCCAACAAAGAAAGTTTCATTCCATATATAAACCTTTCCTTGACTTTTTACAATGGTGAGCTAATACAATATTTATCCTTCTATGGTTGACATATTTTGCTCAGCATAATGTCCTCCAAGTTCATCAACATTATGCAGTGTTTCGCAAATTCTACATTATTCTTTAGTGTTGCATAGTATTCCATTGTGTATGTACTATAGTTTGCTTATCCATTTTTCTGTTTATGGGCACTTAGGTTGTCTCCATCTCTTTGCTACTGTGAATAGTGCTGTGATGAACATGGGTATGAATGTATGTATCTGTATGTGTCCTGACTCTCACTTCTTTAGGATAGATGCCTAGTAATGGATCAAAAGGTATTTCTAATTGCAGCTTTTTAAGGAATCACAATACTGATTTCCACAGTGTTTGTATCATTTTACAGTACTACCAGCAGTGTTTGAGAGTCCCAGTCTCTCTATATCCTCCCCAGCATTTATTATTTTCTGTGTTGTTGAACTTTGCTGTCAGTGCTGGGGTGAGATGGTATCTCCTTGTTTTGATTTGCATTTCGCTAATGGCTAATGATCATGAACATTTTTTCAGGTGTTTGTTGGCTGCCTAAATATCTTCTTTGATGAAGTGTCTGTTCATGTCTTCTGCCCGGATTGTTTGTCTTTTTGATGTTGCGGTATTAGAGTTTTCTTAAATTTTAGAGATAAGTCCCTTGATAGATATGTCATTGCCAAATATGTTTTCCCAATCTGTAGGTTCTCTTTATACTCTTTTGAAGAGGTCTTTGAAACACTTAAAACTTTAATTTTCAGAAAATCTCAGTCATCTAGTTTATCTTCTGCTATTTGTGCATTTTGGATTATGTTTGAGAGTCTGTCTGCTAAAAAGGCAAGGAGGCCATATCTCCTGACCTCCTTTAAGAGAAAGACAGAATCACCATCAATAGCCCAAGGCCTATTCCAGCGAGGCCAGACATGCTCCCTCCCTCCAGCCCTTTCACCAACCCTGACACCAACCATTCCTCCCGCAGCACTCACCACCTTTCTGCTGGGTTCGATAATTCACTGCAGTGGCCACATAGAACTCACAGATTATGGGGTTTATTAGGGAAGCAGCAGGCTACAATTCAAGTTCAGGAAGAACACTCAATCTTTCAGCCTACCGTCTCTCAGCCAACAGTCTCTCACAGTCTTTCTCCCAGCAGTGCGTGTCCCTCAGTGTCTCACTCAGCAATGCATGTCTCTTGTGTCTCTTTCCCAGTAGCACGTGTCTCTCAGGAGCGTATGTTTCTTTCAGCAGCACGTCCTTCTCAGCCAGCAGTCAGAGAGACTTCTGCCTCTAGGAGGCCTCCTTTTGAGCCTGGCAGAGTGTCCAAAATAACCAATCATAACATCAGAATTCTAAGCACCTGAGAGAGAGCAAACTTCCCAGAACATGACTTTGTGCTGCTCCCAACAGAAATACTCCAGGTGGATGATTTTAACAATCAGAGACTACTCAGTTTCTCACAGCAAATTCTGCCATGGAGTTTACAAAGACTTATGGCTAGAAAAGCCATACCAGGTAATTTACTACACCATAAGCCACCCCCTGGCTGTTCTAGCCATTATCTCATCCCTTTTATGCTTCAAAAATTAACATCCCCTTCACCATCAGTTTAAGAAAAACCATACCCATGAAAGTGTGTAAGCTAGCTACTTAATGCCTTTATCTCCCCCCATTTTAAATAGCCAGTTTCTAATTTTCCCATCACTATCAAACCAGTACTATGAGGAGACAAGCATAGTCCTCTCTTTGGAGAATCTTCACTTCTGCTTGGAAACTTCAGGCATCTGGATCCATAAAGAAGCAAAGTCCAGCCCAGCGCAAGCCATCAAATTGCAGCAACTCAATATCAGCACAGTGTCAACATCTTCCTCTTCGTTTGGTCGGGTTCTGGTCAGCTCAGCCCTAGCCATCCCAGCTAGGTCATGGGTACCAACTGCCAAGTTTGGAAATCACACTCTT